CAATTGTATATGAAGTCTGTGAATAACACATGCACATTGAAATTTTTGTTCTTTGCATTTGGGTTCATGCTGGAAAGTAAATGTATGATAACTAAGGATGAAGTTGGAAAAGTTATGCATGTCAGGATGCCAACTATGCCAGTGTAGGCCCTCCTTTACAATGTACTGTAGCTAGATACCCAATAAGAAGTGATAGGTTTACCTGAGAAGTGTATACCAACAGATAGTCCACAGTTCAAAGTACCATGGAATATGTTATACCTGAGGGCTGGATCTGCAAAGCATGAATTATGGTGGAGCACCCTGGTAGGGATGGGCTTGATGTTCGATGTTCTTCACCTGCAGAACCCCACAATGCCGCTTTCACAGTGTACTGTGATTGGCTAAAGCAATGCATCTGACCACAGTTCAGGTGCAATTCTTTGGCCAATCACAGCACAATTGGGTGGAGCTAGCGGTGACATAATTGTTTACATCTGACTGGCAAATGTCAGATTGTCGCAAGTGTGGACGGGTCTTCGGGCATCGTTTTTTTTTTATTTAGGTGAATCGCGTCAGCGTGACAATGCTGGACACCGTGATTGACGATGGATTACAACGATGGAACCATTTTTTTAATAAAGGACTTGTCAAAAACTGTTGTTTGATTTTTTGGTCAATAAAGGATTTTTCAAAAATCTGCCATCTTTATTTTTTTACTGAATTTAACCATTTAGTGAATGGGTAGGGGTAGAAGTACCCCTTACTCATTCACAAGGGGGGGCAGCATCAGGGTGCCCCCTTATTTAAAGGGGTACCCTGATGCTAATGAGCTCCCCTGCCCACAGGCCCCCACAAATACTGAGCCATGGTTGTGGGAAATAGGCCTTTGTCCCCAACGGCATGGGGACACCATTCCAATGCCAAGGGCACGTAGCCTGGTAAGCTGCGGGGAGGGGGGTGCTTGTTCAATCCCCTTTCTTTCCTGCCCTGCCAAGCCTGTGCTCAAATCAAGTGTCTGGTATGGCTTTTAGGGGCAACCCCACACACTTTTCCCTCCCATTTTTGGGAGGCAGGGTTCAACTTAAAAGTCCTACCAGGCCTACAGGGCCTGGTATGGCTTTTAGCGGGAAGCCCACGCACTTTGTTTTTGAATTTTTTTACCGTGGGGACCATCCTAACCTTCCTATCAGACCTAAAGGGGATTATTTACTAAAGCTGGAGAGTCCAAAATCAGACTCCCTTCTGCATAGAAACCAATCAGCTTCTAACCTCAGCTTGCTCAATGAAGCTTTGGCAATGAAACCTGGAAGCTGATTGGTTTCTATGCAGAAGGGAGTCTGATTTTGGACTCTCCAGCTTTAGTAAATAAACCCCAAAGGGTCTGGCATGGACTGGGGGGCACACTGTTTTTTTTTTTTTTGTATAAAATTGTCATTTAAAAACAAATGTCAGTCCTGCTGCTACATTGTATAGATGTGCAACTTTGTGGGTAGTTTAAGGGGACCCCCCAGGTATGATATTTAAAGGAATTTTTTATTTGTTTTTTACTTTAAGCAATGACAAATGACTGCTCCTTGGCAAAACGGTCCTTTTTGAATTTTTTTTTCACTGATTCATGTCCCTCAGGGCAGTACCTGAGTCCCCATATTCCTTTTATGGCCAATAACTTGCATATAAGCCTTCAAAATAGGCACTTGTAAATTTACAAATCCCATAGACTTGCATTATGTTCGAAGTTCGCAGTCGAACATTCATTAGGTCCAAATGTTCGACCATGAAGTGAACATGGGGGTGTTCGGTCCCATCACTACACCCTGGACAAGGAAGGACTTGAAAACTGGACTAGGATTACTCTGGATCAGACTGAAGAGTTTGACCAAGACTTGCTGAAGAAGAAAGATGGTCCCAGCTGACAACAGGTCATAGAGGAATTACTTTGACACAGTTGGCCAGCTTAAACATATATTGCACTGTAATGTCTATTTGCCCCATAATGGCACTATATCCATGAGTGCAATATTTAGCATTTTGCAAAGCAAAAGAGGGACTGGCCAAAGAAGATTTACTTTGATGCAGTTTGACAGCTTAAACAAGTATTGCAATGTATGTGAACTAAAAATCCCTGTTTTTATGCAAAGTTTGCTAGAAAGGGTGTATAGCAAGGTGCAGAGGATTCATTCAGAATTGCAAGTGATAGCAGGTAATGCAAGATTTCTCAACCAGCAGTCTAAAAGCTTGCAGGATCTCCCAAGCAGCAGTCTAAGAGCTTGCTGGCATTAAGTAGGGAACTCTCACAGGATTTAGGCTTTCATGCATGCTAAAGTAATATAAAAATTTTACAGAACAGGCGGAAGACATGGATAACTAGGAAGTAGTCAGTAGTTGGTATATAGGGATGAAAGGAAGATGCAGTGGATAACCAGGAACTAGCTAGAAGTCAGTAAACAGGAATCAATACAGGCTGGATAGCAGGAAGGTGTACAGAGATCATGTAGTTTGTAAAAGCATTGCTTGGATAGAGTTTAAATAGTTTAGGTAAGAGAAAGGAGCCACCCTGATAGGGTGCAGCATTACAAGAGGGCAGAGAATGCTACAGCATATTAGTTGTGTCATGACAGAGGGGGGAGAATGCTGCTGATAGTGGCTGTGGCCATTCAGAGAAAGAGCACCATGCAGATTGGCTGCAGACCTACAAGTGTCAGGTGCAGACTCTGACTGAACACAACATGACATTTCATGTAACATCTGGAAAAGCACACAGCCACTCCTTAGAAAGAGAGGTGGTGCTGGCTGGAGGAAGGTAAGTAGCATTGACAGTCCCTCCCTCTTAAGAGGCCTCCTCACCCACCAGCACCTGGGTTTAAAAGAAAACGTCTGATGAAATGCTCTCATGAGATTATTATTATTATATTATATACAGTATTTATAAAGCGCCAATAGTTTGCTCAGCGCTGTACATTACAAAGGGGGACAGAACATGTGACAGAACAATACCAATACAATGTGATACACGAGGGGTTCGAGGGCCCTGCTCTTTCGAGCTTACAATCTAGGAGGGAGGGGGTGGTGGCACAGGAGGAGATAGCTGTGGGGGATGGGGTGGTAGGAAGAGTGGAGGAGGTCGGCAAGTTAGCAGGGGGTGGGGTAGTGTCAGGGCTCCCAGGTATGACCAGAGGTGTGTGACTGATGCAGGGAAACGCAGACTTCAGATATGGGATAAACAATACAATTTATTAACACTAACCATACAAACATAAACGCAGTGCAATACTAAACATAATACAGTGCAAACAAACCAAACCAAACCACCCACAGATAACAGTACATACAAGCAAGCGTCGTCAGGCAGGCCGGGTCAATATCAATTGGGCAGGTAGGTACAGGGGGAGCAAGCAGAGAATGGTCGGGGTCACAGGCCAGGTTCAGCAGGTAGCAAGCAGCGTAGTACAGAGGGTCAGGCAGAGGGATGGTCAGGGTCACAAGCCAGAGATCAAAACAGGTAACAAGCAGCGTAGTACAGAGGGTCAGGCAGAGGGACAGAAACAGGATGCAGGACAGATACAGGGCCCAGGACAAACACAACACCAAGGCAGAGTCTGCAAGTCTGGCCATCCCTTAAATACACCAGTATCATCAGTTCCAGGTGTTAGCTGGCTGAAAGGTTGAGTCTCTGATTGCTGGGAGCACCCGCTGGCCAGCCCTGGTACTGCAGATCAAAAGGCAGGTGAGTCCCACCATTGCTGGCCAGTCCATTCCTGACAGTACCCCCCCCTCAAGGAGCGGCCTCAGGACGCTCCAAACAGTCCTAGCTGGGAAAAATGTTCCACCGCCCGGGTCTGGTAACTGGCGGGATATCAAAGACTGGCACACCGGGCAGGACTCCGGGCAGAGGCACATCGGGCAGGACTCCGGGCAGAGGCACATCGGGCAGGACTCCGGGCAGAGGCACATCGGGCAGGACTCCGGGCAGAGGCACATCGGGCAGGACCCCGGGCAGAGGCACATCGGGCAGGACCCCGGGCAGAGGCACATCGGGCTACCAGGCGAAGCGGCAGGCAGCGGGCCACCGGGTGGAGCGGCAGGCACCGGGCCCCCGGGGGGGCGGCAGGCACCGGGCCCCCGGGCGGGGCGACAGGCCTCGGGCCCCCGGGCAGGGCGACAGGCCTCGGGCCCCCGGGCGGGGCGACAGGCCTCGGGCCCCCGGGCGGGGCGACAGGCATCGGGCCCCCAGGCGGGGCGACAGGCATCGCGCCCCCAGGCGGAGCGGCGGGTGCCGGACCCCCAGATGGAGCGACAGGCCTCGGGCCCCAGGGCGGGGCGACAGGCATCGGACCCCCAGGCGGGGCGACAGGCATCGGGCCCCCAGGCGGGGCGACAGGCATCGGGCCCCCAGGCGGGGCGGCGGGCGCCGGACCCCCAGGCGGAACTACAGGCCTCGGGCCCTCAGGCGGAGCGGCGGGCGCCGGACCCCCGTGTGGAGCGACAGGTCTCGTGCCCTCAGGCGGAGCGGCGGGCGCCGGACCCCCAGGCGGAGCGACAGGCATCGGGCCCCAGGGCCGGGGCGACAGGCATCGGGCCCCCAGGCGGGGCGACAGGCATCGGGCCCCCAGGCGGGGCGACAGGCATCGGGCCCCCAGGCGGAGCGGCGGGCGCCGGACCCCCAGGCGGAACTACAGGTCTCGGGCCCTCAGGCGGAGCGGCAGGCGCCGGACCCCCAGGTGGAGCGACAGGTCTCGGGCCCCCAGGCGGAGCGACAGGTCTCGGGCCCCCAGGCGGGGCGGCGGGCGCTGGACCCCCAGTGGAGAGCGGTGGGCGCTGGACCCCCAGGCGGAGCGACAGGTCTCGGGCCCCAGGCGGAGCAGCGGGCACCGAGTCACCAGGCACGACAGTGGACTCCGAGTCAACTGGCATGACCGCTGGCACTAGGTCAGACATTGGATCGTCTGGCTGGACAGCGGGCATCGGGTCACCAGGCATCAGGTCATTTGGCTCGACAGTGGGCACCGCGTCATCTGACAAGGCAGTGGGCTCCGAGTCAACTGGTATGACCGCGGGCACTGGGTCAGACATTGGATCGTCTGACCGGACAGCGGGCATCGGGTCACCAGGCATCAGGTCATTTGGCTCGACCGCGGGCACTGCGTCATCTGGCAAAGGCAGTGGGCTCCGAGTCAACTGGTATGACCGAGGGCACTGGGGCAGACATTGAATCGTCTGGCTGGACAGCGGGCATCGGGTCACCAGGCATCAGGTCATTTGGCTCGACAGGGGGCACCGCGTCATCTGGCAAGGCAGTGGGCTCCGAGTCAACAGGCACGACAGTGGGCACCGGGTCATCAGGTACCGGATTGTCTGGCTCGACAGCAGGCATCGGGTCACCAGGTATGACAGCGGGCACTGGGTCACCAGGCATCAGGTCATTTGGCTCGCCAGCGGGCACCGCGTCATCTGGCAAGGCAGTGGGCACCGAGTCACCAGGTACGACAGCGGGCTCTGAGTCAATTGGCACGACAGCGGGCACCGGATCAGGTACCGGATCAACAGCGGGCATCGAGTCAACTGGCCTAATAGGATCGTCAGGCTGGATCAGTTCATCATGCTGGGTAGAGGCATCAGGCTGAATGCCGGCGTCCGGCTGAGTAGAGGCTTCAGGCCGAGTAGAGGCTTCAGGCCGAGTAGAGGCATCAGGCCGAGTAGAGGCATCAGGCCGAGTAGAGGCTTCAGGCCGAGTAGAGGCTTCAGGCCGAGTAGAGGCATCAGGCCGAGTAGAGGCATCAGGCCGAGTAGAGGCATCAGGCCGAGTAGAGGCTTCAGGCCGAGTAGAGGCATCAGGCCGAGTAGAGGCATCAGGCCGAGTAGAGGCTTCAGGCCGAGTAGAGGCATCAGGCCGAGTAGAGGCTTCAGGCCGAGTAGAGGCTTCAGGCCGAGTAGAGGCATCAGGCCGAGTAGAGGCATCAGGCCGAGTAGAGGCTTCAGGCTGAAGAGAGGCATCAGGCTGCATACAGGCATCAGGCTGAAGAGAGGCATCAGGCTGCGCACAGGCATCAGGCCGAGTACAGGCATCAGGCTGAGTAGAGGCTTCAGGCTGAGTAGAGGCTTCAGGCTGAGTAGAGGGCTTCAGGCTGAACCACGGAAGGCAGGCTCACCGGTTTGGATACTGGCAGGATGGTATTGGTTGGAAAGAATTTTCGCTTTTTTCTGGTTTTAACTACTGGAGCACTGCAAGTAAACGCAGGTCTGCAAACGAATGGAGCAGCTGGAGACAGAGAAGAACTGGAGGATGGAACAGGAGAGGGAGCAGTTGCTACAGAGGGCTCTTTTACAGGGTTAAAGGCAGGATAGGTGCAGCGAGTGGGAACAGGGTACTGACATGCGGTAGATAGCCAAGTATACTGGGCTGTAACTGGAGGAGCTGGTGGGAATACAGGAGTAGAGTTAGAAGCAGGACTGGGTCTTTGTAAGCTGACTGAGGCTGGGTGCAACAAGTCTGTCCATGTCTGCAGTAGGGGTTGAACAAAGCTGAGCTTACACAAAGCCTGTCTGGTCAATGACTGCACTGCGTTTATACAATCTCTCAGTGTCTGTGGTGAACATGTGGAATAACGCTCCAGAAAGTAATCCACATCATCCTCTAATAACCACACCAGGGACTCTACCTGGTCTGCACTAAATGGTGGCAAAAATTCATCCCTGCATTCGGGGAACCAGATGAAACCAACTCTGCACAAACCTCAATCAATGGCTGCACCTCAGAGAACACTGTGCCCTGATCTACTAGAACATGAGCGAGCCGTATACATTCTAGCAATTCATCCCGGGTATACTCCTTCAGAGTTTGATAAGCATACTCCCTGTCATCAAACACTAGCAGATATAAATACACAACCTCCTCAAGATCCATCCTTCCCATCAACAAGCCAAGATGGCTTCCCTGTGCAGCCACTTCTGGTCAGGATTGGCCTTGGTGTAATGTCAGGGCTCCCAGGTATGACCAGAGGTGTGTGACTGATGCAGGGAAACGCAGACTTCAGATATGGGATAAACAATACAATTTATTAACGCTAACCATACAAACATAAACGCAGTGCAATACTAAACATAATACAGTGCAAACAAACCAAACCAAACCACCCACAGATAACAGTACATACAAGCAAGCGTCGTCAGGCAGGCCGGGTCAATATCAATTGGGCAGGTAGGTACAGGGGGAGCAAGCAGAGAATGGTCGGGGTCACAGGCCAGGTTCAGCAGGTAGCAAGCAGCGTAGTACAGAGGGTCAGGCAGAGGGATGGTCAGGGTCACAAGCCAGAGATCAAAACAGGTAACAAGCAGCGTAGTACAGAGGGTCAGGCAGAGGGACAGAAACAGGATGCAGGACAGATACAGGGCCCAGGACAAACACAACACCAAGGCAGAGTCTGCAAGTCTGGCCATCCCTTAAATACACCAGTATCATCAGTTCCAGGTGTTAGCTGGCTGAAAGGTTGAGTCTCTGATTGCTGGGAGCACCCGCTGGCCAGCCCTGGTACTGCAGATCAAAAGGCAGGTGAGTCCCACCATTGCTGGCCAGTCCATTCCTGACAGGTAGGCTTCCCTGAAGAGATGGGTTTTCAGGGTGCGCCTAAAGGAGAGAAGAGTAGGTGATAATCTGATGGGTTGGGGCAGGGAGTTCCAGAGGATGGGTGACACCCTGGAGAAGTCCTGGAGGTGGGCATGGGAGGAGGAGACCAGGGAACTAGAGAGAAGGAGGTCTTGTGAGGAGCGGAGTGTGCGTGCTGGGCGGTACTTGGATATTAGGTCAGTGATGTAGTTCGGGGCAGTATGGTGGACAGCTTTGTACGTCAGCGTTAGGATTTTGAATTTGATCCGTTGCGCAATCGGAAGTCAGTGGAGGGATTGGCAGAGGGGGGTGGCGGAGACAGAGCGGTTAGAAAGGTGAATGAGTCTGGCAGCCGTATTCAGGATGGACTGAAGCAGGGATAGCCAGCGGCGAGGCAGGCCAGTGAGGAGGGAGTTGCAGTAGTCGAGTCGTTTCTGGGGTTATGATGGGATGATATGACATCTAATGCAGGATTACAAGAACTTAAAGCCAAAATCCTCTCTAATTTTAAGGTATTGAAGTATAGAAGACTGGAAGTACAATATTTGCTTCACTTTATATTTCTGGTTTGCTTTGGACCAGTAGAAGAAAAAAGTTTAGAGAACTGTTAAGGAGTAAATATTTAAGAAGCAAAACATGGAAAGTGTTAGAAATCTTAATCTTAAGGTTCTTATGAATTCAAAGTTTAAAGCAGATTGAATTTACCTAGAAGCTGATCATGTAACATCCAAAAAATTTAGGAGCAAATTATAGAGACAGTACCCTGAGTCTGACTGTCCTGGTTGAGAGCCAAACTATGCCCCTTGGATGCAGAGGTGGTAGTTTGTCTCTGCAAGAATCTATACAGTTTTTGAACTTGTTAGTGGCTGATTGAAGTAAACTACACACTTCTAATGAGAATATCAGAAAAGCAGGGAATGGGAAAAGAAGTTTGTGGATATCTCTCACAAATCATAAAAAATAGGGTCTTCTAAGAGCTGGAACTTATATAAATATTGTGGGAGAAATCTGTCCATAGAAGCAGTGAACCCTAGTCACTGTGATGAAGATTAGGTAGGAAATTTAAGACTATTTCTGCATTTTCGCAGTTTGGGGTGGAAGAACTTGACTGGCCTGCACAGAGTCCTGACCTTACTACGTGTGAAATCTGTGAATGATCACAGAGGTCACATAGTACAAGGCAATTCACAACAGCCTTGTACCATGTGACAAGCTGTGACCAATCACAGCTCACTCAATAGTTCTCAATGGCTGCAAGAATGCAGCTAGAGAGAAGGAGGAATGGTTGCTTTTACAGCCTTTATGGGTGTAAAAGCAATCAGTGTAGAAAAAAAAAACATCTTTCATCACCCCCACAAGTAGTACAGTGTCACCATGGATAGATAGATAGATAGATAGATAGATAGATAGATAGATAGATAGATAGATAATTTTATTATTTTTTTTTTTTACACAATTTTTTAAATAAAACACTGTGACCAGAGTAATGTAATGCTACCATAGTAACATTGTACTACTCTGGGGAAGTGATCAGTATTTTTTTTACACATTATTATTGCCTATGGCAGTGAATTTCACTGCTATGAGCAAGCATTTAACTGAATGAAATCAATTTATTCAGTGTTTTTTTTGTTGTGATTAGCTGTGATTGGCCACAGCTAATCACATGGCACAGATGGGCTGTGATTGGACCAGTCTGTACATGTGATCACTGTGACCAATCACAGCTAGCAACACAATTGTATTCACGGGATGGCATGAAAGGAAGCCATCTTTTGTTTATAATTTTCATGTGACCTGCTGTGATTGGCCACAGTGGTCACATGGTACTGGCAATGGGCCGGTACACAGATCGGTCATCCATAGTACACAGCCAGTGACAGATCTCGTTGCAACCTGAGCATGCATAAGGCGGTGATCCGAGAGGACATAATTCTCCTATAGACCGGGTAGGAACTGGTTAATTATATATATTTCTACCAAACATCATAGGCATACATAGAGTCACATCCTAAAACACATTCTGCTACTCCTTCTGAGTGTGGCAATACCACGTGTGTGAAAGTATTGTTGTCTCCACGCTACCCAGTGATGATGCAACGGATTAAAATAATAATACCACACATCTGTGAGATTTCTTCACCGACTAACCACGTAGAGAAGCTTAAGAGGAGCACCTTCAGGCTTTCTAGGGGCATAAATTACACATCTAATTTCCTGATTATCACATTTTTGGAGGCCATGGACAGTAGAAACATATACAAAATGACCACATTATGGAGATTAAATACCCCAAGGCATTTTGAGTCTTTTGAATAAACCAAATATTTTTTTTGCACAAAGCTGTCAATTTAATAATATTTTTTTTCACACACAGCATACTTATAATAACACCCACAAAACGCATTCTGCTACTCCTTCTGGGTATGGCAATGTCACGGGTGTGGGAGTTTTTTACTGTTTGAACTGATTATGCACCAGACATTGATTTGTGTGATACGCAAAATACAATCAATTTTATCAAAATCAATCAACTATACTTGTCACCTCTATACGATCAGTCAGGAATTATAGCTTAGTGAAGCATCGCATATAGCAGTTCCCAATCCTAAAAGACAAGCAAACCTAGCCTACTGGTATGTGGCTGTCCCCAGGAATGCCATGTTCACTGGCCAGAAAGTACAAGAAGCTGAAGAAAAGAAGAACAAAAGAGTTCCTGTGGTTCCAGTAGTGCAGTTGTCTGCAAGTGATCGCTGGGACTGGAGTCTCACAGGAACATAGTCCAGCTGGATTTGCAGATGGATCAGTTCAGGTGGCAGGTAGAGACATGGTCATAAAACAGGCACGGGCTTCAATATTAGGGTTCATTCACACATGAGTTTGGGGTAGTAAAACCCTGTGGTTGAGCCCCATAAACTTTCTTGAACGGATGCCCAAATTTGAACTGCATTGTCCAGATGACAT